ATCACATGTGTGAGGCACTGGGTTCGATCCTCAACACCACATAGAAATAAATAAAGATATTGTACCCATCTACAGCTAAAAAAAAATTTTTTAAAAAAAGATATACATACATAGCTACAGATATTTATACTTAGTGAGAAGACAATAATATTAATAATGAACATGTAAACATGCTACATAACCAAAAGGAGAAATCAATCAAAATACTTGGCTTAAGATCAAGGTATTCAGCCAAGAACACAACACTTTGCTTATGGTCAAGTGGTCTAGACTCAGGTTTCAGCCATAAACATTTAATTTCTTTTTACTTTAAAATTAACTTCTCAAAATTTATACTTATTGATACCATCAATAATAATATAATACCTTTTAATAGCACTTAAAAATTATAAATATGTAACATTATTAATCAGTATTATATATCTTTTATTAGCAACAGGTAAAGAACTATGAATATGAACTGCAGGCAGAGCATCCCTGATCCAAAAACCTGAAACCCAAAATGCTCCAAAATCTGAAACTTTTTGAGCATCAACATGATGTCACGGGCTGGGGATGTGGCTCAAGCCGTAGCGCGCTTGCCTGGCATGCATGCGGCCCGGGTTCGATCCTCAGCACCACATACAAACAAAGATGTTGGGTCCGCCGAGAACTAAAAAATAAATATTAAAAAAATCTCTCTCTCTCTCTTTAAAAAAAAAACACAACATGTCACAAATGGAATATTTCAAACTTGGCTTCATATGATAGGTCACTGTCAAAACGCAAACATACTAAACATACTGCATAAAATCAACTTCAGACTATGTGTATGTAGTATATATGAAACCCAAATAAATTTCATGTTTATACTTGGGGCCCATCTCCAAGATACCTCACTGCATAGTCTATAAAATATAAAGTTTGCAAACATCCCTAAGTCCAAAAAACTCCAAAAACTAAAACATTTCTGATTCCAAGCATTTCAGGGAAGAGCATTCAACCCATATGCATATAAAAATATTCCAAAATCTGAAAACAATCCAAACCCCAGAACACTACAGATCCAAAAAATTTTGGATAATGAGTACTTAACCTGTATTTGCTGCTACAATTACTTCTACCACCACTTGCCATTCAAATTCTAAAATAGTCAAGTATACTCTAGGAACTTTGTATATATTAGCTTTAATCCTCACAAAAGCCTGTGAGACAGGCACTATTATTATCCCCCTTTAGCAAATTGGGAAACTAAAGCACTTTGCCAAAAGTTTAAAAACCTAGTCAAGGTTACCCCGATAATAAAAAGCAGAGCTATGATTAAAGCAGTCTTAGCCAGGAGTAATGGCACATACCTGTAATCCCAGCTATTCAGAAAGATAAAGCAGGAGGATTGCAAAGTCAAGGCCAGATTGGGCAAATTTAGCAAGACTCTGTTTCAAAATAATTTTTTTTAAAGGGGGATGATGGTATAACTCAACAGAAGAGTGCTAACCTAGCATGAGCCAAAAAAAGAAAGAAAGAAAGAAAGAAACCTCAGGCAGTCTCATCATATGGCAACAACTTAAATGTCCATCAAAAAATGAATATACAACATACAGTGCAATATTATTCAGCCTTTAAAAAGGATATTCTGTTGCTTTCAATAATATGCATGAACCTGAAGGACATTGTGATACATGAAATAAGCCAGACACAGAAAAATACTACCAGATCTCACTTTGGAATGTGGAATCTACAAAACTCAAACTCAAGGAAGCAGGGATCAGATCCCACTAAGGTTGAAGAGGTGGGGGATTTGGAGAGATGTTGGTCAAAGGGTACAAAGTTACAGTTATGTAGGATCAATCAGGTCTAGAGATTTAGTCAAAAGAATTATGATCATAGTTAATATACTGTATTGTCTACTGGAAATTTACTAAGAGTAGATGTACTCATCACATACAAAAAATATGGAAACCATGTGATGAGATGGATATTAATTAGCTTGACTTTATTAACAATTTCACTATATATATGTATATCAAAACATATTACAGACCCTAACTATATTCAATTTAAATTTAAAAATAGATAAATCAATCAGTCTGATTCCAGAGTTCATACAACTTAACAACAACAACAAAAGTCTAGCCTGGCATGGTGGCATGAGCCTGAAGTCCCAGCTACTTGGGAGGCTGAGGTGGGAGAATCACTTGAGCCCAGGACAGGAGTTCAAGTCCAGCCTGGGCAATATAGGGAATTCCATCCCTTTAAGAAAACAAAAACTTTTTTAAAATCCTAAAAAAAAAAAAAAAAAATTGTTTCTCTACCATAAACAATCACAGCTTATTCTACGCTTGATTTTCAAATCCCTAAATTCCTATATATTTCTTTCCTTACTCTGATGTTAGAACTCTGTTTAAATGGCTCCAGAAGTTTTAAGAGGCATTTTTGAAATATTTTTAGTTGCAGTTGGACACAATACCTTCATTTTATTTATTTATTTTTATGTGGTGCTAAGGTTCGAACCCAGTGCCTCACATAAATGAGGCGAGCACTCTACCACTGAGCCACAACCCCACCCATCTAAGAGGCATTTTAGTGAGAATGTATAACAAAGTGATTAGAAAATTTACTAGAATATCACACTACCTCAGGATAATTTAGTTCTACTATTCACCAGTTTTCTGACACTATGCAGGTTATTGCTAAGCTTCCTTTTATCTGCAAAATGATAACAGCAATAGTACCTGTTTCAAGACATTGTAAGAATTCAAGAAGATTCTACAGATATTTATTGGGCAATTAATATGTGCCATATGCTATTTCAGGTACTAGGATAGGTATGAGAAAGATTGACATTATACTCTATATGTATAATAAGAATTGTAACACATTCCACTGTTGTGTATTTAAAAAAATAAAATCAGTTAAAAAAAAAGAAAAAAGAAATTTTTTTAATATTTATTTTTTAGGTGTAGATGAACACAATACAATGCCTTTATTTTTTTATGTGGTGCTGAGGATCAAACCTGGGTCCCACCCTTTCGAGGCAAGCGTTCTACCGCTAAGCCACAATCCCAGCCCCTAGAAAGATTGACATTACATTCCAACAGAGCAGATAGATAATAAACATGTAAACAAATAAATTCAGATAATACTAAGGGTATGAAAAAAATAAGGTAGCATGAAAGAAAGCAATAAAACCTGGGAAAAGTCTTTCATATAGCTTATTATTATGATGATGTTCAACATTTTAATTCTAGAAGCATCTAGTTGATTTTTCTAACTATAATGCTTCCATGAAGATCATCAACAGGGGATAGGGATGTGGCTTAAGTGATAGCATGCTCGCCTAGCATGCGTGAGGCACTGGGTTCGATTCTTAGCACCACATAAAAATAAAATAAAGATATTGTGTCCACCTAAAAACTAAAAAATAAATATTAAAAAATATCATCAACAAAGTACAACTAAACTTAAAAACAAAACTGAAGTTGCCCAGGAATGGCAGGGAGAGGACAAAAAAAAAGGGTCTATTGGTCTATCTTGTACTTAGAATGGATCTTTTCTAGGCATCATCTGTAATATTGTGAGCTGCTCATTTAGATAATATTAAGTTCACTAAGTTTGGCAGATTTTATAGATGTTGACACATTACATTATACAATATTAAAAAGGCACATTTTGGGCTGGGGTTGTAGCTCAGTGGTAGAGCACCTGCCTAGCAGGATGAAGCCCTAGATTCAATCCTCAGCAATACGTGCGTGCGCACACACAACACACACACACACACACACACACACACACACACACATACACATTATGTTCTATAATATTACAGATAATTTCACCATAAAAGTTTAAAAGTACCAGAGAGCTGCCAAGCTCACAACAGTATATACATATTTTTCAAAATTCTAATTTTTACTTGAAACCTAAAATTTTATCAACCTCACTTTATTATCAAGAATTACCATAACTATTTAATTACACACACACCCCGCCCCCAGGTAAAAATGCTGTTCCATGAAAAAAAAAAAAAAGTGGCTAGTTTAGCTCACAAGCCAAACTATTCTACAAATGCTTTTCTTCAAGGCATCCACCCTGCCTCTGGATGTGAGAGTTTTATGGGTACCAGTAATTTTTTCACATAAAATGCTAAAAATTTTAAGGGCCAAGCCAGGCACCATGCCTGTAATCCAAGCAAATCAGGAGGCTAAGGCAGAAGGATCACAAATTTAAGGCCAACCTTGGCAACTTAGTGAGACCCTGAGCAATTCAGTGAGACCCTTTCTCAAAATGAAAACTAAAAAGAACTGGAGATGTAACTGAGTATTAAAGCACCCATTAGTTCAATCCCCAGTATTAAAAAAAAAAAAATTCAAAACCTGAAATTTAATAAACTTAGTCATTTTTCACTGCTTCATCCAAAACATTCTTAAATGAAGCTGACTTTTTTTTAAACAATTTTTAATGTAGATGAAGAAAATTACTATTAATACAGATTAGAGCCACTACCTTGATTTATAGTAAGGCGCCAACAATTTTACCACCACCATTTTATCACTGCTTTTGCCCCACCAGTACATATGTCAAGACAACTAAAAAGGCAAGTAACATCTTCATATTATTATGAAAATACTCCTGATCTCACAGATCACAAGAAAAAATAAACAAACAAACATCTCAGGAATCTCTTGAGTTGCTTGGTCTACTCCTTAAGAACTGCTGCTCTCAGATACTAAAAGAACTTTAGGGAACTAGAGTTCACAAACATTAGAATATACAAAAAAAGAACTTCCACATCTCTCTAGTCCAATTTTTTTCATTTTATAAATGAAGAACTGAGGCATAGAGAGGATAGTTTACCATTAGTAAACACACATATGACAGTACTTGGGATCTCTAACCTGTTTTTCATTATTCCTTAATGAATTTCACTCTTTACAAAAATGGAGTTAGAAAAGTCCACATTTTCCTTCTTTAAACTAAACAATGATATAAACACATATATTTTGTGGAGAAAAAGCATTTACCTTTCCTAATGGAAAGTTGGGTTTCACAGTCTTTGCTGAAGCAACAGGTGTATCTAAATGGTATGCTTCCTTTTCAAAACACTGACGTTTTCTAATCTGTAAACACAGAACCAAAATGAAGTTTAATATAAACTCAAAGTTTGACAGGCTAATTGTTCTTAAAGGCCAAAATAGCTGTTTATAGTTTTGTTCTTTTTTTTTTTTTAACTAAGAAGACTCTTTGTACCTGGCAATAATCAAGTAATTTTTTAAAACACAAAGAGAACACCAGACATGGTGGCACACACCTATAATCCGAGGCTCAGGAGGCTGAGACATGAGGATCACAAGTTCAAGGCCAGCCTCAGCAACTTAGTGAGGCCCTAAGCAACTCAGTAAGACCCTGTCTCAAAATAAAAAACAAAAAAGGCTGGGGATATAGCTCAGTGGTAAAGCACCTCTGGATTAAATCTCTAGTACCAAAACAAATAAACAAACAAGTAAGCAATAAAACCCACAAAACCCTAAAAACACAAAGAGGAACCTCATTACAGCACTTTTTAGTAACAACTCTTAAATAGTAACCAAAATAATGTTAGTTACTGACATATCAAAATTATACAATCATCAAGTGACTTTCCCATAAAAGTCTTTCCATACAGATATCAAATACAGTATTATAGCAAAGTCCAGTCAATACTTAAGCCATACATTACACTGAAAAGAATTCAGAATAAAATTTAAAAAAAATTTTTTTTAGATGTTGATGAACCTTTATTTTATTCATTTATTTATATGCGGTGCTGAGAATCAAACCCAGTGCCTCATACATGGTAGGCAAGTGCTCTACCACTGTGCCACAACCCCAGACCTAAAAATTTTAAATGTAAATAGTCATGATTCCCTACATGATAGGATAAATTACTTAATCACTATTATTACTTAATAGATATTTGATTTTTAAAAATTGCCTGATTATATTTCTTTTATAAATAGCATTAAGTTTTCTTTCTTTTTCTTTTCTTTTTGGTACTTGGGATTCAACTACAGAGCTACATCCCAGTCTTTTTTATATTTTATTTTGAGACAGGGTCTCACCTCTTGCCTCAGCCTCCTGAATAGCTAGGCATGTGTTACTGGCTCCTAGCTAAATAGCACATTTTCTTTCCAAACTGTAACAATGCTTTTTTTACTTGCCAATACCCTATTAAATCATACCATTCCTACCACACCTGACACATCTTTTAATAATTTTTAGATACACGTATTTATTTTATCATGTATCAATATTAAGAAATCAGTAAATATGAGTAAATCTTGCCATTATACTTAAACTGTCAATACCATGAATATTCCTATCAAAGGTATTTTGGTGAAAAGAAAATGCCATTATTAGATTAAAATGTTGAAGGAGTTTGCTGGACACAGTGGAGCACAGATATAATCTCAGCAACTCAGGAGATCAAGGCAGCAGGATTGGCAA